CAAGAGATAGACGAGCCTTAGTGTGAGAAAGTGTACAACCAAGACAAGAGAGAGCACGTTGGAGATTCATTCCAGCCCACCTTAATTGTGGAGGCAGTACCTGATTGACTGAGCCGCGAGGAGAATCGAACCTTTTTGCCTCTATATGAGTTCCCTCACCTCTTCATCTTCATGCCAGAGGGTCTCCAATGCCCGATGTCCACTGCCGAACTGGTCAACCCCTGCCTCTTGTTACAGCAACTTTCATTATGGTTCTTTCTAAGCCGCTGTAGTGTATAATTATATTATGACTAAAGTATTTAAAATATCCACATTTTCTAGACATGTATTGAGAATTTTACATGTTTCATATATGGTTCAACCACGTCCGACTCTATTTTAAGTCGGACGTGGGAGTAACGTTTTTCACCGCAGAAAGAGAGTGACTTCCCTTTCCATTCATGCCTCGTCGCGTCGAAAGGCCTCTCCAGTGTTGCGGTTTATTATGATATGGCTTAGTTCAGCGTTTGCTCGGCGTTCACAATGTTTGTGGGAGGTTGTGTTGTCGTGAGTCTCTTTGAGGCGCCGCAGCCGCTTTGTACTAGTAAAAAGTACTGCAGAAGAAACATCGCAGGTGCAACGATTCATGAGTGTCGAAACTGGGATGTTTTCCTATTTCTACATTCGTTGGCGGTGGCCCGAGACAGAGAAGGCACTGACAAGACAGGCACTGACAGGGAACGTAGGGATAGAAAAACATCGCAGTTTCCATGAAAACGTTACTTGCACCTCATATTCATATCAAGAACATTGTAAGATATATTGTAATTTTTCTATATTGTCTAAAAGTAAGAGGCAGTAGAACACTGAATGGCCGAACGATTAATAACACCATTTTCTTATACATGAGACGAATGTTCGAACCCTCGGTAAATTCGTGGATTTTTTTCTTTCGGGTGCAAAAAGAACATCCCAACCTGCAAAGTCTATGGTGACAATACCAGCCACGATACCCTAAATACTGAGGCTCACAAATTCCTACTGCCTACACAGCAAAAGTGGTAAACACAGGACGTCACTTGCAGTTGGCAGTCTAAAGTCTTTTTATTTTTGGCATTGACCGACTGGAAACTCTGGCAGAAAGTTTTGGTTGTTCATGCACTTCTAGATTTTAATTTTTTTTTTCAGAATCTGAGTGCGACGTGTACATCCGTTTTACAGATTTCGCTTTTATTTTACCTAGACTGTAGGTTCCTTGCGTGTCAGGCAAATGCATCGCGACTTCGAACGAAGCTCCCAGTCAGTAGACTCTTACGACATGATTGTTAGGGAGTTAGTGGGCCTCTTCTTGTTTTCCCCACAGTGGGACCACGGAACCCACATGGGGAAGTCCGAAAGTAAAACAGCCAACATAAATAATAGTTCATCCCATTCAGTGCGTTTCGCGGGACAGAATAGTTGAGCTATAAATAAGCAAAATAAAAAAACCTTGTTCATGTTATAAGCCATAATAAGAATATAACCACTTTTAACTGATCAAATTATGTATACGCTAGTCAGCACGATGTCGTCGCGTCAGCTATTTTTATCCCCCAGAACATTTCATTGTTAAACCAGGCTGCCACAATATCGAGGGTAAAAACCCACCCACACTGGTGTTATAGTTATTTAATTATAAATACAAAGCACTAGCCGATTAACCGTTTTTGGTATCAGATGACCAAACCGGTATATTTTCCCTGTATATTTATCACAAGGAGTGGTATCTGAGATATTTTCTCAGTCTTGTCTTTTCAGTTCAGGTACGCTGAAACCTTGAATGCCCCCGCTCTCCTCCATTCCCCCAAAAAATGTCAGTGGGCTGCCCCACTAGACCCCCCCCCCCCCGTTTTTTTCAAGCCATGTTCTCTTTTTAAGTTTTGGTTTACGCATGTCATATTGTTAGACATTTATTATATATATTTACTATTCGCCATATTGTTATTATAATTATTGTTATAAAACATGTTAGCGAGGCCCTCATCTCCCCTGTCCTTCCAATGTTTTGTTTGTTTCTTTAGTTTAACGCCAGGGGTCTTTCTCAAGCAGTTTATAAAACATGGATGAATAATTAATCTATTTACAGCTGTGCCTTAGAACTCCATTGTGCTTGCAATGACTGCCAGATTGGACACCGCTAACTGTGTGTTTGGCTTCACCCGCATACAGTTACCTGGTGTGAATATTCATTGAGAAGTTGGAATCAAAACATGGCGGATAAAGGAGCCAGGAGTATTGCCTCGGCCGATCAGCCGCTTCCCATGAAGCTGTTTGCGACTTGGGAGGTGGAGAAATCGTCACCCAACTGTATACCAAGGTAAATCTTTTGTTTTAATTCCACTGCACTAATCTGTTGCCAAGTGATTAGTGGTTTTATCGGAAACGTTCTGTGTCTGTTGTTTTAGAAAGGCCATGTCTGCTCTAGCAGACGATGTAACCTCGGGAATGTTTCGTCTTCTCTTTCAGTTTAATCATATATTTTATATCTTAGTTTTTTTGTGTTTGATTGGTGACTAACGAACAAGATGTTTGATATTCTGTATCATCGATGTTGATTTAGCATTATTGTCTTGCACAGTCAAAGACTTGCAGAAAGTAAGACTAAGACTTACTAAGACGCACTGCTTCTATTCTAGTTAACAGAAGAATGAATAACAAATAATGATCGTGATTATATAATATTTATCATATATGATATACTATGACGTACCGTGTCTAGTAGACAAACGGTCTACCTTTTGATTCTTGTTAAGTTATTGATATGTAAATGTTGTTTATGTACTGATCGGCTGATAATTGATAATAACACAGCTAGTGTAACTAATCAGTAGTTCATGTTAGGAAGTGAGTCACGGAATGATGAATGGAATGATCTCATAATAATAGGCGCCTCAAAGCTAGGGCTCCTGCCCCTTGCGGTGCATAGATAATATATATTAGGATGGCCATAAATATCCTGAACTGAAAACTGGACAACCTATATTTTGATATGAAAACGGGACGCACTATTTGGAGCTGAAAGCGGGACAGCCTACTATTGTGAGCTGAAAACGAAATAACACACTATTTCGAGCTGAAAACGGGACACCCTTCTATTTCAGGCTGATGTCCCACTAATATTTTACTCTGAAAACACTACATCCCACTTATATTTTTTAGCTGAAAATAGGACATCCCACTAATGTTTTAAGCTGAAAAACAGGACATCCCAAGCAAGTTTAACAACTCGCCCCCTCCTTTTTTTCTAGGTTGCCAGTGTTAATGGGTTAATTACTTGCTTGATAATAGTATTTAGACCTGAACCATTATCGCCAAGAAATAAACCAAACAATACTCTTTTTAACTGCAGTGAAAAAATATGCTAGAGTAAAAATTCTCAACACATTTCAGGCATTAAAAGTATCAAAGACTATGAAATCTAATAAGGTCTACAGATATAACTGTCAGATATAACTATACATGTATATTCTATTCACGAGGTTATTCCTAGAATTCTAAACAAATGGGACAGTTAGTCTTTTTTTGGGTAGTACCGACGGGGCGACCAGGGAACACCTAAAAATGGGACAGTCCTGGTGAAGATGGGAAATATTATAAAAGTAAAAGATCCCTTTACACGCCCTTAGGTGCATCGGGCATATGGGAAGAGCACCCATATTTTTACAGACCAATCGGCACTCGGTGGGTAATGTGGTCAGCATTACGCCGGCCGTCTTTACTTTCCCAGAAAAGCCCATCCTGGTACCCATTTGAGGCTGGGTCGACCTGCGACATCCCATACCACGATAAAAATCCACACAGCCCACAGTGGGTTTCGATGAAATATTATATATACGGATAATATTTGTTCCCTAAGTTCTGTTTTTTCCTCCAAGATTTGTTTTAGTTAGCTCCAGTACAACTAATTTACACACAAACTGTGAATACAGTACAACAGCTGTTTACAAAAAGATTCTTTCAGTCCTAGGCATGTATCACTCGACTCGTTGATTCCTAAGTATTTTTTACCAACAGTAATGGTTTTTTAGATCTAGAGGGGTTGAAATAGCCTTACATACAGTAATAGTTCTTTAGACCTAGAGGGGTTGAAATAACTACACAAAGGCACCAAAAGGGTTAGAGTAACATTTGGACTTACACAGGTTATTATAACAGCTGTTTGGATAATTAAGTGTTTAGTTGAGTTAATTCAAGAACCGACATCACAGCACTCGGGGCAGTCCCATAAGCACTCTGAGCCCATCTTCAGCAGCCAGCACAGGTTCCATACCAGTGGTGCCAGTAGCGTTCCGTCTTGCCTTTCCTCTGAACATCGAGTATGGGCCAGATTACGTCGTCACTTCCAGCTGCATCACTCTCACCAGACTGTGGTGATTCATTTGCTCCTCTGAATTGTACACGTTCTCCCACAACTCCTTAACCACATCTGCCTTATCGTGCATTAGTATTCCAGCAAGTTGTGCAGAGCCAGCCAGTATGTCCGCCTGTTCATTTCCAAACACACTAGCATGTCCCCAATAAAAGATCCAGACAATGCTCCTCACCTGTGACCTCCAAACTCAAGCATGTCACTCTGCATAAAACATGCCTGTCCTCGCTTTATTTGAGGAATAAAGTGTTTAGAAAAGGCATGTCATATAGGCAAACCAGTAAACACATGGTCAGTGGATTGGAACTTAGTGCATTCATATATGCTCACCATGTGGCAGGTCCCCATATAGATTCTGAGGCTCAGTTTTTTTTTTTTTTTCTTAGAAACTAAAGGCCCACTGCCTTCCTGAGAGGCATGTCATAAGGGCCAACAAATTAGAGGTATTTTCTATTAAATTCAATTAAATCAGATTGCACCTGCCTGAGTGATCAGGAACCAAGAGTCTGCACATGTTACAGATAAGCCAGATTTGTAAAATGGATGTGCATGCAAAATTTGAGTTCTGTAGCGAGACCAAGGTCTAGAAGTGTAGGCATATTCAGAACTGTTGACCAGTGAAGGTGGAGTAGAAAACTGCCTAGCAGGTACCACAACTTACACATGCTGCAATGTCATTACTTCTGCTAAAAAGATCATTCCTAATTCCATCAGTTTGTAACCAAACAGCATCAGCAGAGCATGAACTGAACTCTTTCAGGCCCATGAATTTTGACAGACTTGGCTTCCATTAATTTCCTTTTACAAAAATAACAGAGGAGTGGTGTAAAATAAAGGCAAAATAGAATGTAATGTATTTCTAATCCCTACAAAAGTATTTTTTTTTTTTAAGTGGAATGAATGTACAATCGATATGTGTATGTTTAATACTGTTATAGTTATTAGGAAAGACAAATTTAGCAGATGTTAAGTTTACAAAGACACAATTTTATACACACAAAAATTCTTCACTGACCATGGTTTTTTAGCCACAAGAGGAGTAAATAAACAAATTTAAGAATAACACTTTGAAGTTTGTTCAGTTTTCTTACAAATTCCAAATTTATGATAAGTTTTTCCACTAGGCCTACATGTAGGGCAGCGGTGGAGACCAAGAAAAGGTAGAGCATGGAATAAGAAGACTTTCTTTCACTGTCTGCAGAAAAGCTGGGCAGTTAAATCTAATTTTATTGTATAAACCACCAAAAGGCTTTTTTAAAACCAAAATTCCATTAAAAATATATTGAAAGGAAATTGCATGTGTGAAAAAAAAAATGAATTTGTTGAGGCCCTTGCAGATTATGCCTTAATCTGGCCCTCTGCCTACTCTCTCTGTCTCTCTCTCTCTCTCACACACAGGAAGAGACAAGTATACACAGAGAGAGACACACATACGTGCGCATGCTCACACACACGCGCACAAACACACACATACACACACATGCACATATAAATTTGTGTAAATAACTTTAAAAAACAGTAAAGTAAAATAATTCTTTCATAGAGTTTATTCATACAGATCGGATACATTTTTGCTCCAGAGATTTGTATGTTCTTAGAAAGTTGTAAATTTGTTTTAAACAGCACTTTCTTTCTGTCTCCTGTTGTAAATTTGTTTTAAACAGCACTTTCTTTCTGTCTCCATCTGAAACTTTTTTTTAGCTGAAGACATTTATTCTTCTCTTTTGTATATTCCCAAATACCAATACAAATGCTTTTTAGTAAACACTGCAGTTCATTGCAAGTTCTCCAGGCATTTTTCTTGCCATGTTTTTAGTGCCCGCCAAACCCAGTCTTGTTGGCCCTGGTATACAGGCAGCACTATAATATGTTGCCCAAATTGTGACCCTTTAGTAGTAGTTTTTTCGTTCATTCATTCTTTCTGTTTCAGTGTCATGATGGTTGTTGGGTGATGAACATTGTGGTAGTTTCCACATTTTCCACAACCACGTGGCCTTAGTATGCATCCTTACCTGAACTGAGCTAAGAACCAACATCACAGCAATCAGGATGTTCCCATAAGTACTTTGTCCCCATCTTTAGCAGTCAGCCCAGCGTTGCAGTTGCTTTGGAACTGGTAGCATTCTGATTGTATGCCCGTCTCACCTTTTTCCTGAGTGTTGAAGATCTGCCACATCCCCTGGTCACTTCCAGCTGCACCTTTCTGTTCAGACTGTGATAATCTGTTTGTGTCTCCACACTATTCACTCACTCCCAGAGGGCTCTGACAAGCTCTAGTTTGTCGTCACTTTACCATCAGGTGGTGCACAATCAGTCAGTCTACGTGCCTTTTCTGTTCACCTGCATACCCTGGAGAAAATATCTTAAGGGCGGAAACTATCCAGGACCTCTAAAGTGATATTTGCCAGTCTGCGCAACCTAGCTTAACCTTTCTCAACATGCTGTAGGAGTCAGTTACAATCAGGACATGTTTGTGTAGCAGGATCTGAAGCCAGCATATGCTGTGGTGACTGCCTCTACCCCAGTTCCCACATATACATATGTAAGTACAACCACATACACATTATACACCAAAATACACTAATTGAAGGAAGTATGCTTATTTGCTAAGTTCTGTAAAGTATAGAAGTTCACCAGCCTCTTATCACACAAATGTAAATATTACAGAATCCTCAGGTATTCGCCCCTGTGCTGTTTGAATTCAGCTTCTTCTCATGTTTCTGTATGAGGGTCGAAGCTCCAGAATCACAAATGTAAACAATAAATGAAAAAGACAAAACAGAGATAATACATTTGATAGGGCATTCTTTGAAGCTGGTTCCTTGTTGAATTTGTCAGATGTTCTCTTGTAGCATCACACTGATTTGCTAGCACTGATAACAGTTGATTCCAACCTATTAAGACTGTAGGATGTTGGTTCTTTTGTGTCCCGTCTTGTGGAGTGTGAA